ATGGGACAAGTATTTAAGAATAAAGAGTCATGCCCAGCTGGTGTGGCTCAATGGTTGAGTGTTGACCTATGAACCAGGAGGTCATGGTTTGATTTCCGGTCAGGGCACATGCCTGGATTGCAGGCTCAATCGCCAGCAGGGGGCGTGTAGGAGACAACCGACCAATGATTCTCTCTCACCATTGATGTTTCTGTCTCTCTCCCCTTCTCCCTTCCTCTCTGAAATCAATAAAAATGTTTTCTTATAAAAGAATAAAGTGTCAGAATGTTTGCAGCTAACTTTCAAATGAGCCAGCCAAAAAAAGAAAAAAGAAAGAAAAAAGTAAACACACACACATTTGCAGAGAAAGGGAGTAACAACATGCTAACAATGGGTGAATCTAGGGTGCCGGGTATACGGGTAGTCACTGTACTTCTCTTACAACTTTCGGGAAAGTGGACTTAAATAAAAAGTCGGAGGGAAGTTAATTTGCTAGGTCTCTGCTACGTCAGTGTGACCCGCTCTGCATCCCTGGCCCTCCTGCAGCGGGAGCCTGGCTCTCAGATGAGGAACCCTCACTGAGATTCCCGTTCAGGCTCTGACACAGGGCGCGCCCTGGCCCTGTGACCTGAGCCCCTGTGGGCGTTGCGGGGCCTCTCTCTGGAAGAGCAGAGCCATGGCTCACTGGACCCCAGGAATGCTCCCGGACCCCAGGAATGCTCCCTCCCTGAGCCTGCGCGCCCCGGCAGCCAGGCTCCACAGGGACGGACGCCTCAGGCCAGGGCCCTGAAATGCCAAACCACTCTCCCCAGAGGACGCCTCTGGGGCCCCGTGAAAAGGAGAGCCATTCTGGAGGCTGAGGTAAGACACTGATAAAGGGCACAGGGCCCCCCGGAAACTCAGCACAGGTCCTCCTCCAGGCTGGAGGGCAGGTTGGGACAGAGGAAACCAAGGCAGGCTTCCTGGAGGGAGAGGTACCTATGTAAGACTTAAATGGTGAGCAGAAGTTTGCCCAGCGACAGTGGGTGGAGGACAATCCAGGAGAAAGACAACTTGTTCAAAGTCTCAGAGGCAAGGGAGAACGTAGCTTTTTCAAAAAAACGAGAAGCAGATGGGTGCTACCAATTCCAGGATGTGCGATGTGCTGTGAGAAATGGGTAGGAGCCGAAGATGGATTTTATCCCATCGGTGATGAGGGGCCACAGAAGGGGTGGTGGCATCCCGGGAGCAGCTCCTTAGGAAGATCCTGAGGCAACTGTGGGATGTGGGTCTGGAGAGAGGAAGGCGGGTGATGAAGACAGCCAGCCAGTAGGTGGCAGTGGGAGCGAGAGGGAGGGGTGGGTCCCAGGGGAGTCAGGCTGGCTGTGGGGGTCAAGGAGCCTGGATGGGTGGTGACACCATTTGCTGAGATGGCGGTTACACAGGCGGAGCAGGTGGTTTGGCCCTCTCCGTTTGTTTTGTTGTTAATCCTCACCCGAGGATATTTTCCCATTGATTTTTAGAGAAAGTGGAAGAGAGAGAGGAAAAGACAGAAGGAAATACCGATGTGAGAGAAACACATTGATCGGTTGCCTCCTGCATGCGCCCTGAACCAGGGCCCAGACGGGGAGAGGCACGTGCCCATGACCAGAATCCAACCCAGGACCCTTCAGTCTGCAGGCCAATGCTCTAGCCACTGAGCCAAACTGGCTAGGGCTGTTTTGTTGTTTTTCTAAAAAATATATTTTTATTGATTTCAGAGAGGAAGGGACAGGAGAGAGAGATAGAAACATCTATGAGGAGAGAGAATCGCTGGTCGGCTGCTTCCTGCATGCCCTCCACTGGGGATTGAGCCCACAACCTGGGCATGTGCCCTGACCCAGAAATGGAACCTTGACCTCCTGGTTCATAGGTCGCCACTCAACCACTGAGCCACACCAGCCGGGCGGCCCTGTTTGTTTTACGGGGTCCCCACTGATCAGCAAACGCGGGGGAACGACCAAGGGCCCAGGACCTGGCAGCACGTGTGGGGCAGGTTGCACCTCACTGCCGCCTCGCCTTCGAAGCCCGCGGGTGGCTCTCCACGCCTGCCCATGCCCTGGCTCCATGTGGGTTGGGGCTGCGGAAAAGGCCAGTGGGCGGCCGCTGAGCAGGCCAGCCTCAGAGGGACTCCCAGGACGTTTCCTGGCACCTGAGGCTCAGGACACCCGTCCATGGACGCCAGAGACAGCCAGCACCCCTCTGACCACACCCCAAGCCCCTGCATCGAAAACCTGCCCCACCAATGGGCTCACCAAGCCCTCAAAGAGGCGCTTCGTACCAGGGCCCCACAGGCTCTGGGACACAGGCAGGGAGGGTGGCATCCAGGGAGTTCAAGAACTGGCACGTCACAGGTGCCACCTGCTTTGGATGGACTCGTATCGACCTGCAAGCCTGGACAGCAGACTGAGAGCCCCTGCTGTATAGCCCCCGGCTCCCCGGGGGGGCTCACAGGGTGGGGACAGGGCTGAGTGGGGCAGGGTGCCCTCAGGATGCCCAGTTTGCCACTGTTTACCACCAGCCAACACGAAAGCATTTCCCTATTTTAACTACAACCCTCATCCAGTGGTGACATCAGAGGTCCCCTGCCCCATCTGGGGGCAGGAAGGGGCGGGGGGGGGGTGGCTGCTGCTGTCCCATCATGTGTCATCCCTGCACACTCCCCAAACCACTCCTCACATTTCCGTCCCCCAGTGGCTCTGGGGAAGCCAAAGTAGTGATCCAGGCTGTCATCAGTCTTAAGCTGACCCCTAGGGGACAGCTGGGACACAGCAGGGCCCCGAAGGCCGGGCGTACAGGATTAGGACCTATCCCAGGCCGGGGCCCCTCTGCTCCCCACACATAGGAGCAGCTGTGGTCTCCCCCTCCTGGCCTTTAGCCAAATGGAGCCCAGAGACCAACGTAACAGGAGCCTGAGGCAGAAGGGGATTCATTCACATCATTCACATCATGGGGCCTGGGGCCTCTAGGCGTCACGATCCAGCACCACAGGCTCCCACTGGACCAGCAGGCTGACCTTTGAACTGTCCCGCCCACCCCACCCCCTGCCAGCACACGGGAGCCCATGGTGAGGAACAGAGCCCAGGTCAACCAGGCTGTCCTACTGGGTGCTCATGAACAAGGCTGCCCACTGTGTCTGGCGATCCATTGCCATCTCGCTGGGCTCTGGCCACCTGGAGGGCCAGACCCACACGGAGGGCAGAAAAGAGTTCACGCAGAAGGAGCTTATACCAAAAGGAACGAAAACCTATTCGCGTGCAAAGTCCTGAGAGAGGAAATGAGGGAAGTCCTGGGGTTGCTGAAATTCGACTGACGTGATCTTTGCTTTCCTGTCACCTCCAGATTTTGTATTCTGGAAAAACAATTTGCCTTAAGAACAGGCAACCCTTTTGCTGGAGATTGGGTTATAAAAACTCTTCCAGTACAACGAGATTCAAGATTCGCAGAGCTTCCAGGCTGGTGAGCAAACTGTATGGGGAAGGCGGGCACTGGAGAAGGCACGGGGCCTCCGTACCACCCCCACCCCCATACCTGGCCCCTGCAGACTTCCCATGTGGCTGTTCCTGAGTTCTGTCCTTTATAATGAACTGATAATAATAATGAGGAAGAGCGTGAAGAAATAAAATGGAGTCACTATAGTCAAGCTGCTAAATTACGAAAGCCAAGTACAGTGGGGCCTTGACTTACGAGTGTCCCGACTAACGAGTTTTTCGAGATATGAGCCGTCTCTCGGCCAATTTTTTGCTTTGAGTTGCGAGCTAAAATTCGGATACGAGCCAGCTTCAGATACCCCACTGCTAGTTGGCTCAGCGAACGTCACAGTGAACGCCACAACATCAGCCCAGCATCACATGTCTCACTCGTTCACTTTAAGATTTGACATACAAGTAATTTGAGTTACGAGCTCCGTTACGGAACGAATTAAACTCGTAAGTCAAGGCCCCACTGTAGATTGAGACCTGAGGCAACGCTTCTGTTCTTGTTTGAACTGGCCTGGGAACTTAAACTTTTGAACTTTCCAGTCCTGCCTCAATGCCTGGACATGCATCAGCCTTCCAGATAAGCCTCTGACCGTCCCCCGAAGGACTAAGGAAGGAATGTTCCTGCATCCAGACCGCCTGACTTGCCGTACCTAGGGGATCCCATCTCGGGCCAAGGCAGAAGCTAGGCCTGCAGGACCGGTTCTTGTCAAGAAAGCAATCTTTACTATACAAACTCTCCACGCTTCTTTCTTCTTCAGAACACTTTTGGGCATGGCCTCGTCGCTATTTCCAGTTTGCAAACCCTAAAGACCCTTGAAAAAAATCTTTGTCACTCGTGCCAAAGCCTCCTGACTCTTCCCGAGTTCATTCGACAGTGATGCCGTGCTTCCCGGCATCTGTCCGTTGTTCTAGGGACCTGTGAACCCGCATCTGCAGGCAGCAGCAGGGGGACAGGCAGCCTGGGTGCCCCGTGTGTGGCTGCCCCCAAGTGGGGCTGAGCCCTTGACCCTGGGTCTGTAACTCTGGGTAGATAGTGTCAGAACTGAATTGAATTGCTGGACACCCAGTTGTGTTGGAGAATCGGGGAGCTGGTGGCTGTTGTTTTTGGAAAAAAACCACATATAGGGGTCTGTTGGCTCAGGGGGTTATGCACAGGAGAAAAGAAAACAATTGCCGTCCTGCCTGCTGATAACCCCGGGCCTGTCACTGTCCCTCTCTGGGCGCAGTTCCTCCCTGAGGAACTGAAGGGAGCCAAGGTGTTCTGTGAGGGTCAAGGTGTTCTGTGAGGACGCCAGCCCGTGCCTTCTCTGCTGTGGCTTCCCAAGGGGCTTCTTGGCTCTGCTTCCAAAAACTATTTCTTGCTTTGAAGCCAAAGGGTCCTCAAAGGAGGCTCTGGGCCCCCCAGACATTGAAGAGGTGAAGCCAAGGCAAGAAGACCCAGAAGGGCTGGTGGGCCAGGTGGGCTGCAGAGGTGCCACCATTGCTCCTGCGCGAGGTGGGCCCGAGGCCGCCCGCTCTTACCTGCTCCACACAGTCTGGGATCTCCGGGGCGCAGGGCAGCGTCCCTACACTCTCCATGGACAGCACGTCCTTCAGCAGCTCCTCACAGCCTGTGGACGGACAGACAGACAGACAGTGGGGGTCAGAGCCTCAGCCTGGCATGGCAGCTTTACTTCTGATGAACAGGCCTTCGGGGAAGGGCCGCGGGAAGGCAGAGAGCCTGCGTTTCCAGGAAACCAGTGGCTCATTCGAAGGCGGAGCTGGGGCCCCCAGGCTGTGGAGAAGACAGCCCAGGGCCCTGCGGAGGGAGCTGGGGCAGGTCCTCACCTTCCAGAGGTGCTTTCACTGGGACCAACACTGACAGGGAATACGCGGAGAGGAGACTCCCAAATGCGGAAAGCAAGCTGGGGGCAATGGGAACCAAGGAGGCCTTCCTGGAGGAAGGGGTGTAAGACAGTACTGCCTGCCTGACTTGCAGGGACTCCAAATGCACACAGTACCCTGAGGCTGAGGCCTCTGCAGGCCTGCAAACTCCAGACGTCTCAGAGAAGGCCCCCCTCACAAAGGCTCCACCTCCTGCTGACTCAGTTACACAGGTGGCCTCCCTCCTCGGTCCCTGAGCAAATGACCCCAAATCATATCAGACAAAGAAGGTCAAACCTGCAAAGTGCCTAGCATGGGCACATGGTGGTGGACCCACGGTTCAAACAACTCCACTCAGAATCCTTTACCTGCTGTGTGCAGTCCCCTCGACTTCTCAGCTCACTCCCTTTGCCCCTCACCTCTGTGGCAGTCATTCCTGCTTCCTCCCCTCCCGCCAGCCAGCAGGACTGGGGTCACCCCGCAGAGGAGGATTCACACAGACAGAGAAATATGGGTAACGGGAAGGCCTAGGGACTCCTGGAAGTCAACGGCTCTCTTCGCAGCCAGGGGGCGGCCTTAGCACGGCCACCCGCTGGAGGCTCAGGCCACTTTCTCCAGGCAGCAGGGAGGGCTGTCAGAGTTGCCGCATTCTGAGATCATATTTTGGGGTCTCTCACAACGGGCCTTGGCATTGGGGGAAAGAGGGATTTTATGTTGCGCCATTACAGGGGAGGGGCAGGGAGGAAAGGAAGAATTGGGGAGTTTAGAGAAAGAGAGGGGGTAGGAAACAAACCAAGGAAACTTAGGAAGGACGGGGGGAGCGGGGTGCCCAGCTCTGCCCAGAACTGCCGGCTTGAAAACGACCAGGCCATGTCCTGGGAACCCCTCAGGAGTCTGGTCATCTAGAAGGAGGTGACCCCCTTCAGGAGAAAGAAAAAAGGAAAAAGAGGGTGTCCTTCCCCAGAGGGGGGCAGACAGTGGGAAGGGCAGAAACGACTGCCCAGCCGGCCCAGCAGGCCAGCTCCGGGGCAGGACTCCGTGGGGCGCCAGGGGGAGAACCCACTTCTGGAACCACCCTGGGATCCCGGATCCCCACAGGGAGGGCTCTGAGCTGAAACCCAAATCATGCCAGCCTCCCCCACTGAACAGGATCCCGGGAGCCCCTAGACCAGCGGTTCTCAACCTGTGGGTCGCGACCCCTTTGGCGGTCGAACGACCCTTTCACGGGGGTCGCCTAAGACCATCCTGCCTATCAGGTATTTACATTACGATTCCTAACAGTAGCAACATGACAGTTATGAAGTAGCAATGAAAATAATTTTATGGTTGGGTCACAACATGAGGAACTGTATTTAAAGGGCCAGAAGGTTGAGAACCACTGGCCTAGACCCTCTTCCCCGGAAGACCTCACCTTTCATGGCGAACACTCCCCGGCAAAAGTCCTTGAAATTGATTCTCCCCAGGTCGTTGGGATCCAAATATTTCACAAGTTTTTCCACCTGCGGGAAGAAAGAAGCGGCAGGTGTGAGGCCCCCAGACACTCCCCAGAAGGCTCATGTTGCAGGGGTGAGGTGGCCAGGAGGCTTGGACGAAGGGAGGACTCGTCAACTGAGCCAACGCCTCCTGGCCCTCTCTCCCCCCTCAATCGGGGGTCAGCGCCCACCCCAGACAGCAGTGGGGCCACTTCAGCCTCTGAGGTTGACAGGCCGCAGAGCAACCCCAACGCCGCAGTGCTCAGAACCCGGTCTGTCCACCGAGCTCCGGTCTCCAAGCCCATGAAGGCGGGCACATGGAAAGCAAACACTCGGATTTTTTAACTTCATGGTTTCTTTCACACAAAAACAACTAAAACTCACTGCAGAAACTCTAGAAAAGAGAATAAATCAAAACCCTGCCATTTCCCACTTATCTTTTCAACCCATAGTTTTTTGTTCGTTTGTTTTTTAATATATTTTTATTGATTTCAGAGAGAGGAAGGGAGGGGGAGAGATAGAAACATCAATGATGAGAGAGAATCACTGATCAGCTGCCTCCTGCACACCCCCCACTGGGGATCGAGCCCACAACTTGGGCACGTGCCCTTGACCGGAATCGAACCTGGGACCCTTCGGTCCACAGGCCAACGCTCTATCCACTGAGCGAGCAAAACTGGCCAGGGCTCAACCCATAGTTTTAACAACTTTTTTAAAAAATTGTAATTCTGGGAAACGTTTGGTCAAATTCCCCTTTGTCTATACGAAGCAATCATTATGTCAGCATCATTGTCCCTCTCATCCACATCCAGTCCACACCCAAATACTGAATCCTAAAGCTACCTTTCCTTCCACCTCACTCTTGGGATCAGACTGGTCACAGCCATCATCATCGCCCTCCCCGACTGTGCAAATCTCCTCATTCCTCTACCCTCCTCCACTTTCAGCCCCTCCAACTCATTCTCCACCCCAACGGGATCATGCCATCTATTCCTCTGCTTAAAATCCAGTAACTGTCCACTGCACTTAGGGTAAAGTCCAACTCGGTTACATGGCCTGCAAGGTCCTATCTAATCTGGCCTCTCTGGCCTGTCTCCTCCCACTTTTTCTGTCACTCACGGAATTCCAGCCACACAGGCAACTCCACCAGCAAAACAAGCTCGGTTCTGCCTCAGGGCCTTTGCACATGCTCTTCTCTGTATTTCAACTGCTTATCCTCCCCATTCATCATCTGACAGCATCTAATCATCCTTCAGGTCTCCATTTGTACCTCTATTAAATGTTTCTCCCTCGGATAAGCCTGTCCTGACCACTTGCACCTAATTAAGCCCATTCTGCTATTACCCAATCATGCAGTACCCTGTACGTATCCTCCAAACCACTTGTTGCAATGTGTAACTATATGTTTATGATAATTTTATTAATTCCTATCTTCCCCTCTTGAAAATATGTTCCTTGAGGGCAAGGGCCATGTCTGTTTTCATCACCATTGTGTACCTAGTGGCTCACAGCATGGCTGGCGCATGGTAGAAGCTTCATAAATACTGGCCGAATAAATGACTAGAAATGATTCTCTAAAACATCTAAGTCTGTAAGGCTTTTGAGAATAGTTGCCAAATTGCTCTCTCTAAAAATGTCTCAAGTCTTCCACCAGAGCAACTTGCAAGCTTGGGTATTTTTCCCAGTTTTTGGCAATGGTCAATTTTGCCAGAACTATCTTTTCTAATTAATTGGAGCCATTTCTCCCCGCACCACCTCCCCCATGATTTCCAGCACCTGAAATCCAGCTCTGGTATTTCTTCTAGAAGCCCACTTCCAAATCAGCCTGCAAGTTAGTGGCAGCCCCTCCACAGCACACAAAGCATTCATTCCTGCGTTATTCACTCAGCCATTCATTCAGCAAGCAACAACGGGGCACCTCCTACCTGCCAGGCACTATGCTGGGGGCTGAGGGCTCATCACACACATGGTCACATGGACACACACACAGAGCCATGCACACACACACACACACACACACACAGAGCCATGCACACACACACACACACACACACACTTGCTGTCAGGCACACCACCCCCCAACCGCATCAGTAGCTAAGGCACAGCGGGCAGCTGGACGGCAGGCGATGGGGGCTGGAAAAGCACTTTGGAAACTGTGGTGCAGGAAAGGGATTCCTGTCGCTGCTGCTCTTGTTGAAACTGTCATGGCAGAATCCTCCGGCCACCCCCCACCGCCCCCACATGCTCTGAAGCCCATGGCACGTTCGCAAGGACCATGTTCCCTGCACGCCCACAGGAGACGTCCAGTGCAGCAGGGGTCTGAGCCCTGGCCACTCGGTGGCTGGCATCACGGCCATGTGCCCACTGGGCTTTAGAAGATGGCCAGTGAGCAAGGAGAGACCATACACGCACATCCCTCCTCCCCCTCCCCCCCCCCCGAGCTCAGGAGCTCAACGCTTGTGCCTCTGTTCCCACTGACCCTGTTTGTCCACGTGGGTGTGAGTCTGGGGGTGAGGCGTGACCCCCTGAACCTGCGACTTAGCAGGCTCTCAGGAAAGGCTAGAGGAACTCTAGTGAAGGGGGAAGGTGGCCTTCTACCAGCTCCTGGCCCATCCGATGGGAGCCTCCTTAGCATTGCAGCTGCACCCCACCCCCACCCTCACCCCCACCCCAGACAACACAGCCTCTGACACTGCCCGGCAATGACATGGCTTCTGAGAGTAGCAATGGCCAGGTGCCACCTGCAGGGCTGTGGAGAGCCACCACGACCCAGCTATGTCCTGCCTCCTCTCCGCCTGTCCTCGAGTCACCAGCACTGTAGGGAGTCTATGAGTGCAGGGATGAGCTGGTACCCGTACCCCCAGGCCACCTGGCGCTCATCCCTACAACCCTCTCCAAGGCCCATGGCTATGCATTAATGATCTGATGCAAGTCAATGCTGAATAGCTGATGCGGAGCCCTGACCTCATGCCCACCTCAGAGGCAGCAGGCTGTGGATGAGGGTCTGTAATCCACAGAGTCAGTTCCCTCTGGGGAAGGAGACACTGAGCCAGTCTGAGTGGGGTGGGGGAGGGGGTGGGGGATTGATGACAGGAGATAGAGGGGGTCCCAGGGCCACTGCAAGTCCCTGGAACACCCTGAGCTGTGGCTCTTCAAAGAGCCGTGGCTGTGCAAGTGCTGTGCCACCTGCTGTCCAGCGCTGTGAAGAGCAGGCAGGATCACTGTAAGTAACAATAAATGCCAGGGATGCCCATGAATGCCCTGACTGTGAGCTCGATGCCTTTCCAAATAAACAACAGCGTAGCGTATACAGGGAAGTACTGGTAATCCTTGCTGGGTTCGTGGAGGATTCCATAGGCTGCAGCGCGGTGCTGCACTCTGGCCGTAGTTAGTCTCATCGCATCCTCACAACGATCTTGACAGCAGCTACCACTGAAGTCCCCATTTTACAGTAGGGGAGACTGAGGCTCAGGGAAGGTAGACACCAGGGAGTCACATAGGGGTAACTCCTCCCTGACCCCTGCCCTCTCCTGCCCTCCTGCGGAGCTGGGTGGGCTCCTGCTGACAGGCTGCACTACAGTGCTGTTTCCTTTTTCTTTTTTTAATATATTTTTATTGATTTCAGAGAGGAAGGGAGAGGGAGGGAGAGAGAGAAACAGCAATGATGAGAGAGAATCAGTGACCAGCTGCCTTCTGCACGCCCCCTACTGGGGATCGAGCACGCAACCAGGGCATGTGCCCTTGATTGGAATCTAACCCTGGACCCTTCAGTCCGCTGGCTGACGCTCTATCCACTGAGCCAAACCGGCTAGGGCTGCAGTGTCGTTCCAATTCCCCGTCGCCTGTGTATGGAAGGAGCTTCACCCTGTGGCTGGAGCCCCGCACCCTGCTCACCAGGAGCCTCACCTTCCGGGACTAGATAACCTTTGGCTGGTGCACTGGAGGGGGGGGTGGGGGGGTGGGGGGGTGGGGGGGGTGCATTCAGCTGACCCAGCCATCATTTTGTACACAGGGAGGCCAAGTCCCAGGGAGCAGAGGGCTTGCTCAAGGTCATAGCAAGTTCAGCAAATAACCAGCAGCAAATCATCTTCTGGTGAGCCGGGGTCACCACGCTGGGGGCCTCCCTGGCAGCACACCCACCACACAGGCTGGGCCCCGGGGCTGCGCTCGCTCCCAGGCCAGGCGCGGGGTGCGCACGGGGCTGGGCAGGGACTGCCGAGCAGAGCAGCGGTTGTCACGGGCTCACACAGCTGGCCACGCGGCTGGCTGCCAGGGAAACGGGTTGTTTCCCTGCAGTAATAGCTTGTGCTTTCCTTTTTGGGCCACTCCACCACCAGGCTTCCCCTTCTATTTCTGCTGCCTGTCTCTTCGGGCTGATTCCTTCCCCACTCATTCCCCGGGGTCACAGCTCTCCTAGCTCAGGCCAGACGGTGCTCCTCGCGTTGCTGCCGCTGCCACACTCTCTCCTGATCGCCAGCCAGGTCCTCCCTGAGCCTGTGCCCGGCCGCCCACGCCTCCCTAATTTTGAGCTCTGCAAGCCAGATGGACTCAAGCAAGTCATTGCCTCTCTGAGGTCTCAGCCGCCTCGTCTGAACAAGGGAGATAAGCTGGCTCCGTCTGTAGGTGAAGTGCCTCATAAAATTAGCGGTTATATCATCAATCAGGCGAGGGCTCTGCACCTCTCCCTTTGTGCCGGGCCTGCTCCATGCCTCTGCGCTTATGGATTCATTGAATCCTCACAACCAAGGACTATTTTTATTCCCGTTGTACAGGTGAGGAAACCGAGGCTCAGAAAGGCTAAGTTATTCAGAGTTAATAAAGAAACACTACAAATGCCTTTGTGGACATAATCTCTACAACTTAGATGAAATGGACTAGTTCTTTGAAAAAACACAACCCATCCAATTTCAGATGCTCAACGTCACTAGTCATCAGAGAGATGCAAACTAAAACCCCAATGAGCCCCCACCTCACACCTGTCAGAATGGCTACCGTCAATACATCAACACACAGGTGTTTTCAAGGAT